ATATATATATATATATATGTTATAGATCATAAAAAGTATAAATGACTGTTCTAAATTGGGGGAAATGCGAAAAAGTTAATATTTTTTTCCCTCGTTCTTGATTTGCTGTCAAAAGCAGAAGCGTATAACAAGAGTTTGTATCACTTGAGGCAATATATCGATTTAGCAGTTGCATAGCTTTCAACTATATAACGCTGACATTTTAGATTGTATAATTTAAAAACAACTAAGCATTCATAAAAAGCTTCAAGAGGCATAAAATAAAACTTTTTAAAATAATATTATAAAGAGCATTTTTAAAAATACTTATATTATTAACTCAAGATTTTAATAGTTAATTAACGTTTCCAAATCTAAGCATTTAATTTGTTAAGTCCTAAAAAAGGAAAATTTTAAATAATGACGCAGAAAAATCTTTTTAATGTTAATCGTAAGAGTTTTTTTATTGGAAGGTTTGTCATTTGTTAAGAATAATTTTTCAATGAACAACACGCCTTTAATATTTTCAATTAAATAAAATAAAAAATGTAATCTAACTAATAAAAATATTAAGTAGTATAATATGATTTAATAATGTCTAAATTACGGTGGCTGGTTGATGCAAATTCAGCTTCCGGCTCGCACGAGACACAGTGCTGACGTAAAATATCCTAAGAGTTAGACGAGTCATGGGTTAGACCTCTTGCCTTCGGGCTAAACGTGGAATGTTTTCGTGGTATTTTTCCTCCATGTAACGTAGATGTGGGTTAGCTAAATCATAGAGTCCTCCCCAAAGACAAATTTCTCCCAATACTTCGTCCAGGATTTTTCTTATCCTCTGGGTTGGATTCAAAATCACAGGGCTATGGTGTTGAACATTGATAGTCGTAAACTCAAAATTGGTCGGCTGTTCAACACCAGTTATAAAATAAAAATAAAATATCTAATTTAAATTATTTTATACTGAAATTCTTAAGCACTCTATATTAAAGAAGACATTTCAAAATGTCAAAGTAACTGTAAAATGAAAATTCATATTTTTTTTACTAAGAAAAATAATAATTTCACTCACGTAAGGCGAAACACATTTTTTATTACCGCCCCTTAAAAACCAAATTTAAATATAAAACGAAATATTAAAGAAATACTCTTTAGCTTGAAAAAAAATATTAAAAAGAATTTTCATACTTTCAAGGTACGAAAATCAAATTAATATCAAGATGGAATTTTTTGCGACATTTTTTTTTTTTTAAATTAAAAAAATATATATACTTTCCTCGGGAATCTATTTTGATGGCAATTTTCTTTCTTGATGTTCTTAAAGGTCGCTGGATTAATTATTCTCGTCTAATGAGCATTCTATTTTTAAGCACAATGAAATTATCTAGGGGTCTAAAAGTGGAAATATTATCCATTTTGCAGAAACCCGTGATTATGAAAGTGAGTAATTCATTAATTATTTACTTTAATGAGGAAACATGGCGTCTTAGAACTTTAATATTAATGTTTTAAGAAAAGAAAAAATATCATTATTTTTCTCCAGAAATCTAATATTCTCTTTGATGTAAAAAAAAATATCAATAGTGTTTTTAGTAAGCTCTAATTTTGGAATGAAATAGGAGTGAATAACGCAATTGGTTAAAATTAATTGAGAAAGATAGAATTTCTATTATTAGTCATTTTTGTATAATTTTCAATTATATTACCTTTTGTATAGTTATGTTTCATTTTTCCTTCGTTTCAAAATTCCTGCTTATGCTCAGTGGTAGGCAGATCATGGGGTAGAATCTCGTTGTCGTCGGACTAACCGTGGGATTGTTTCGCGGTTTTCTTTATGTAACGCAAATGTGGTTAGTTGCATCAAAAAGTCCTCCCCGAAAGCAAGTTTATATCAATGCTAGGTCCGAGAGTATCTTTTTCTCATGGGTTTGGATCAAAATTACAAGGCTATGGAGTTGAAGTTTTATAGCCGTACACCCAAAAATGATTTGGCTGCTCAAGGCTGGCTATTAAAAAGGTGAAGAAAAATTTTTGTGTACATATTTTTGTACTTATTAGCCTTAATATTAATTACATTAGAAATTTGTGTTACCTTTAATGGACGGACTAAATGAGCTGCTGACTGCACATATTGATGAACTTACATAAAAAAGGGGCAAATACAGGAAAATTACCTTTTACAATATAATTATTTTATAAAACAATGTTACGCTTTTATTATTTGCCCCATAGCGAACTGATCGTAGGAGACGGTTCCCATTGGATCACTGAAATCAAGCATCACTGGCATCGGTAGTGAGCGGGACAGCGAACATTTTGATCAGTCTGAGAATGGGCAGAGGGTGCGCGGTATCGGTTTCCGTAAAATTGTTCTACGGTTTAGTGTTTGTCATCCTTCACCGATCGTCAGGGTACCAAGACTGGAGACTCTATCCCTGTTAAGAAAATCAAAATGAAGAAGGTATGTCTGCGGATCATCCACAGAGGTGATTCCCAGACTGCTTATTGTGAGTCGTGGTGGCTCAGGGGATAAAGCGTTCGTCTTCGAATGAGGTGAGCCTAGTTCAAATCCCAGTGATGGCTGGTCGATACGAATTTCGCTACCGGCTCTCGTAGACCAC